AAAGTATTTCTATCTTTGTGTCTTATTTTGCTATTTATTTTAAAAATTCAAACAGTGTGCCACTAAATGTTCAAATGTGACTGCGTTGGGCAATTCCTTATTCACAGTATGTCAGGATGAAAAATAACTGGTAGTCAAACTTACAATAGTGTCCTGAGTAATTTATTTGTCATATGTCATGGCAAGAGGCAAAGCTCTGTGCAAGAAAATGTGTAATAGAAAAATTGTTCAGACAACAATATTTCAGTAAAATCAGAATCCAGCTTTCAGCTTTCAAAAGAAAGGAATTCTCAACTGTCTTTTTGACAGCTGTCAAAACAACTAGCTTGGTGTAAGAAAATACGAAACAGTACTAAGAATAATTTAAGGGCAACAAAAGTTATTAATCTTTTTTTCAAGTCTTCAGTGTTATTGTTTAACAGTCTTTTGACCCTAATCTGGCTTTCACATGTGAACTCCTATACAGATTAAGCACGTAAAAAACAGAAGTGTGCTACATGACTCATTTATATCAGGGAACCCAGGAATGGTCCCACTCGTTGTGTTATCTGGCTGGTAAATAATGCAAAATCTTTATTCTGTAGTTAAGAGTACTTTATTAAGATTGTTAACCAGAAGACTCCATTTCTAGAGAGCCTTTCTGCTTGCTCCCTGGAAGCTCCTTTCTCCGATGACCACCCCCCCTCCCTTAGTCCCTTTCTGCATCTGTGTTTTGCCCTAGATTCAGAGCACATCCTGTTGTTACCTTCTGCATCACATCCCAATGTCACTTCTTATTTACCGCACTGGTAATTTTGAGTCTACATGTGTTTAGCAGGACTCTGTATCTAGAGTGCTGTCGTCATTGTTTTGCTCTGCGTTTCTCGAAACCTGTTCTGTGGCATGTCTTTTGACTGTGCCGGTTTCACCACGCTGAAGAACTCTTGACGCGTGGTTTTAAGCACCGCCCATTATTTCCCCCTCTGTCCATTTGCTATTTTATTTTAAGCACCTGAATGACAGAACAGGGACAGGAAGTGACACTATCCCACACGCCACCTGTTTCCCGCACTTTCTCCCTTCTCACTTCCACGGTGGAAATTCCACCCCTGTCTCTTCAGTACGGTGAGGTTTGTGTTCTCCGCTCCTCAAGTAGGGGAGGTTAAGGTTAAAAAAAATTACAGGGTGGTGTTTTAAACTGTAAAAAGAGCTGCAGAGGTTTATTCCTCTCTCCATCCATACATGTGATCAGCAAGACAGCTTTCTCTCTGTGTTCAAAGAAGTAAACGGCTCCATTTACTCTCTGATCAGCCACCTTTGAAGTGCAAAAGGAAATTGCTTTAATTGCCAAGAGATCTCAAATGCTTGTTAGTTTCCTACAAGTTTAAAGGGAGATTGGGGAGGAGGAGGCAAACCACAGTGTCCCCAGTGCAGAAAGAAAAGAAAGGCAATTCAATGGTACACGCAAAATAAATAAATAAAGGGGGGGGGGGGAGAACTTATGTGTGCTGCAATGTACCCAACTTTGCAAAAGCTCTGAAAAGCATAGGTTTTGTTCCATCTTTCCAAACATCACAGCTGACAGGATTGACTGTTAAATGTTGTGCATGAAGATTTCCATGAGGGCCTGGGGGCTGAATGGTCATTTGAGCCCCTTGTTTCCTTCTTATAGCAGCGTCACTGCCTTTTTCTCACATTAAATTAAATAATTATCACTATAAACTTTTTAAAAGACTATATTTTAACTCCAGAGTATAATAAAGCACTGTATTAAGATTTTATGTCTCAGAAATTGGAAAATCAACTAAAAGGAGTATTGGATTTACTAGCAAGGTACAGTTCTTCATCAAAAAGAATTTTCCCATTGTTCATTGGTTTGGGAACCTTGATTTGTTTTTCAAGAACAGTTGGTAATATTGCCTATTGTGAACTTGAGCTGAGCCAATAAGTATTCCTTGTACTACTGGTTAGGGGCAATGTCTCCATCACACCCTCCTGCCAGCCATGGTAACAGCCAAGCTGTTGGGCTACTTGGAACTCTGTGGGCAAGGAGGAGGAAAGGTCTTATTGTGCTACTTGTTGATTAAATATGCAGATCAGTCAGACAATTAAGAGCATATTTCTCCACTGAAGTCAGTGGCCCAGTAACTGGTACATGGGGCAAATCCTAACTACTGGAATAACTCAGCCCAAAGGTTTCCAATCTCTAGGTGGGACCTGCAGTTCTGAAACTACAGTTGTTCTTCAGACTGCAGAGATCAGTTCCCCTAAAGGAAGAAATGGCAGCTTCAGAGCATTATGTTTCTGGCAAGCTTCCTCCCCAGGCACCACTCTCAAGTCGCCAGGAATTTCCCAAGCCAGAGTTGGCAAGCCTACCAGATCTGGGGTTACAATTTCACTGACTACTGTTCTTGTCTTAGAAGGAAAAGGATTCAAACACTGAAATACAGAATTATTTGTGAGTGTCGGTGTGGCCTTGTCCATGTGTGAGGCCTGAGGCGATTGCTCCCTCTTAAAAAGGGTTCTGGCTACACAGTGATCCTCTCCTCTAGAAAACTACCCCTTCTATCATTTTAAGTGTGGTTCTCCACTATTAGCATTGAATTGGGCCTTGCAGGAATATTGTTTCAAAGGTAAAATGTGGTTGGGGAACACTTTGTATGAAAGACTGTTTATCCCTGTATCTAGTAGACCATGGGTAAATTACTCAACAGAACAAAATCAGCAATTATTTTGCAAAATAATTTCATGTGAATATACAGCTAAACAAATCAAAACTTTCTTTGACTTGTACAGTTCCACTAAGCTCAAAGGAAGATGGATTCAACACTGGGATATAAATGGCAGTCCTCTTACCTTCCCCTATGATAAAAGTATAAAACAACTTACTCAGTTTACATTGGGGTTATATTCATTACCCATGCCAAATTTCATTGTATGTTGGGGCAGTGAAATGTGGCCCAATAAAATATGTGTTTGTGGTTTCAAAATCAGTGTGTTTTCCAACACAGCCTGTTTCAGACATCTATATTTATTGATCATGTAAGGTTATCTTTTGACCGCAAGCACTTATCAGTTGTTTGTTACTGTCCATTGGGGTTTTTTTTTGGCAAAGATACTGGAGAGGGTTGCCAATTTCTTCTCCAGTGGAATCTAATGGCAGAAAGTGAAGAGGACCTAAAGAGCCTCTTGCTAAGAGTGAAAGAGGAGAGCACAAAAGTTGGCTTGAAATGCAACATCAAAAAAATGAAGATCATGGCATCCCGCCCCATCACTCCTTGGCAAATAGAAGGGGGTGTCATGGAAGCAGTGACAGAATTCATGTTCCTGGGATCCAAGATCACTGCAGATGGTGACTGCAGCCATGAAATTAAAAGAAGCCTGCTCTTTGGGAGGAAAGCTATGGCAAACCTACACAACATAATAAAAAGTAGAGACATCACCCTGCCAACAAAAGTCTGTATAGTCAAAGCGATGGTATTCCCAGTTGGAATGTATGGTTGCGGGAGTTGGACTGTAAGGAAGGCTAAGGATGAGATGGTTAAACATTGTTATTGATGCAATGAACATGAAATTGAGCAAACTCTGAAGGATGGCAGAAGACAGGAGGGCATGGCGTGATGTGGTCCATGAGGTTGCGAAGAGTCAGACTCGATTGTGTGACTGAACAACAACAACACATCAGTCTATGGCATGTTAAATGTTCTCCAGTGAAGCCCAGTGCTTCCCTGCATCACTTTTCCTTTGCAAAATTAATGATACTTCTTTTTTTTTTTAAGTCCCAGTATGTGAGGGCTGGCTGGGGCAAAAAAAAAAGTATCCCACTAGGATCATTAGTGTTCAGCTGTTATATCATTCCCCAAGTTCTTTTGTGTGTACAGAAAGAAAACAGTGGGTGCGTTCAGACGGCGTGCTGAGAGCGGTTTAAACTGCTCTGGTTCTGACACGATTATTTTTGATAATTTTTGACACCTCCCTTATCCCGCCTCACCACGCAGTCACATCGCTCCCCGTTGTCTACACTACCGACGTGTGGGAGCGTGTGTCGCCTGCGTTTTTTTTCTTTCGGTTTGCGCATGCGCATAGGCACTCATCCATAGAATGGGGTGAAACTACCATGGTGCTGCACAGAACCACCAGGGTGAATCAATCCAACCCCTTCAACAAAAGACTTCCCTTTAAACGTTTGACCCAAAAATGGCCTCCGTGAGATCCCGAACTCATCTAAACGCTAAAACAAGTGACTGTTTAAATGTCGGTTTTCTAAACACGGTAGCAAAGCTGCGCCTATGTGCACACCGCCGACACATACAAAAAATGGCAGGTGAAAAGCAAAAGCCTCGGGCAGCTTTCGAGTGGGAGGGGGTTTAAACCAGAGGAGCGATCACACAGGGGGAAAATGCGGCTTTAAATGGGAGAGCTGAGAAAACACCACTTTGGGACCTGGTAACAAAATACTCCGGGTTAAAGGGGTTTTGAGCCGGAAACCAATGGCTGGGGACAGGAGGCAGATGTTGACTGTGTGATCGTGCATATAAAATCCATTGCTGAACGGTCATGACACCAGATCAAACGGCGCGTCTGAATGCACCCAGTAAGTGGTAAATGGCTGTATTTCAGGTGATTGTTTGATAAGAGCAAGGGACAGTATATTAAAAGTACAAATCTGTTGATGTGCTTCTCTGCATAGTGCCAAAAAAGTGAGTCCAAGGCAGTGTTCCCTCTAAGCTGAGTTACTGTGAGTTAGGTCAAAGTTTTTTAGCCTCCGGCTCACACAATTAGTTTGCTCACACAGAGCAAACTAATTTATGCAGTAGCCAAATTGCTTGCTCACAAATTTAGTGCCAGTAGCTCACAAGATTCCACAGCTTAGAGGGAGCGTTGGTCCAAGGTGCCTTTTTTTCTGGAGTTGTTCTTAAGGGGTTTTTTTTAGGATATAGTGGGTATACAAAAACATCATTTTTGAGGCTTGGTTTATTTTATGCAGGCTGTTGACCATTCTAACCTTTTTTATTTTACAGAAGCTCTACAGGAGAGAAATCAAGCCACCATTTAAACCTGCTGTCGGAAGGCCAGAGGACACGTTTCATTTTGACCCTGAATTCACCTCACGGACACCAACAGGTAACCACAGAATGTGACAAGAAAAGGGAAGAGAAACACATCTGTAGCTTAATTCATCAAATGTACATACAGTTTTGTGGGATGTTAATGCAAACAGTGAAATTTAAGATAATTATGAAATGTCTAAATGTATTTTGAAAACCATAGTACCTTCCTCCCAGTCATTCATTTCAAAGCAAGAAATATAAGGAAATTCCAGTTTATTCCTAAGAATATTATGACTAAATGACTCTGGAGAAACAAACAGTCCATCAGTATACTGTCAAACAGTTTTTAGTTTATTCTAAACTCCTCAAAATAATGCTGGATCTGTCTAGATCTCAAGTATCAGCTGGTATAGTGTGCTTCCACAGATGCCTCAGAGACTAAAATTTAGACACAGAAAACTCAGGCCCAAACTACACAGTACACTGGGAGTACCATGTACACAGCACCCAGCATTTTTTTAACTTACTGTGTCCTCAGGGCAGCCCTGTAGCTAGGGAATATTTTGGGAGGGGGCCTCTGGAGGGGGGCCCACCAGTTAATTAAATGAAAGTACAGTGCAGGTGGTAAGTTGGAGCACTTTGGGGGCAGCCCGACAGGGAGGGGGCCCAGAAGACACACTAGGGGGCCAGGCCCCGTGGGCCCCATGTTAGCTACGGGCCAGCCTCAGGGACCCATGTCAGATTGGGTAGGGGGCTTTTGTTCCTTTACCCCTACATCATTTCCCCCATTTTCTAGGAGGTAAAATATGATGGCATTTTATTAGATTTTCCTTAAAACACAACATATTTTACCTTCCAGAAGTGTTCCAGGTTCAGCCCCAGCATCTTCAGTTAAAAGGAGCAATCAGTAGGTAATCTGAAAGGCCCCTGCCAGAGACCCTGGAGAGCCACTGCCAGTCTGAGTAGACAGTACTGACTTGGATGAACCAAAGGTCTGATTCAGTATAAGGCCTTGCTTCCTCCACTGATCTCTACAAAATGCTGCTCCTGGAGGATAGGAGACTCTGAGAAATAACATGAGGGGGCTCTGAAGTGAGAAAGAGGAATCAGTGGGAATCGCCAGTTTAGTCTGAATGCAACACTTGTTTATACCTGTGCTCTTTTTCTGCATGGGATTCTGACATTGCGGTGCTGGTACAAAAAACACTCCTATCTTATCTCAGGCTGAAAACATATTCACACATTAGGTCAATAATATACTAAATACTTTCCCCCCCTCAAATTTCTATAGCCAATCATCACTTATATCACCTGGGGCAACTACAGTAATATAGGTCAAGTTAAAATAGGTTCTAACTTGTTCTGTGACATTCAAGTACCATGAGATGCCACAAACCACATGCGAGGAGCCCATGCTGTAGAATCTGATGCCAGCCCACCAGAAACTGCTGTAATAAGGAGACATGCCCGTGGAGCTATGGACAGTATTGTTATAACAATATTCAGCGAGAGGCAACAACTCACACCAATCATTCTGTTGATAATTAGTAAAACAACGAAGATATTGCTCCAGGGTCTGATTAACTCGTTCAGTTTGTCCGTCAGTCTCAGGATGATACGCGCTGCTGAGGCCTTGTTCCACCCCTAAAATGGAAAGAAGTTCCCTCCAAAACTTCGAAACAAATTGGGTCCCCCTGTCGGAAATTAATTTAGCAGGTAATTGATGAATTTTCACCACGTGAGACATATACGATTTCGCCAACCTCTGAGCTGTAGGCAAGGAAGGAAAAGGCACAAAATGAGCTTGCTTAGAAAATAAATCAACAACCACCCAAATAACAGTGTTCCCTTTGCTCGCAGGGAGGTCAGTAATAAAGTCCATGGACACCACTTCCCACGGTCTCGATGGGGTAGGGAGTGGCTGCAGAAGGCCAGGAGGCTTGCCCACTCTGGGTTTAGTTAAGGCACAGGTTTGGCAGGATCGAACAAAAGTCAAGAGGTCTTTGCGCATCTGTGGCCACCAGAACTGTCTGCGGATGAGTTGCAGAGATTTCACAAAACTCCAATGCCCTGCCAGTTTCGAACCGTGAGCAGAATCCATCACCTCCCTCCTCATCGAAATAGGCACATACAGTTTGTCTCCAGAATAAATCAGACCTTCAGGGCTACGGACACAATCTGGCAACGCTTTCAGGGAGGCATCATCATCAGCAGTAAAAGCAGACATATATTTCTGGACCCAGCCCCCCCCCC